TCTCGATCGTAAAAATCAGTGAAGTAGGTCGGGTTGAAAAGGACTGTTACAACTTATTGAATAACAAATATGGATAATGTTAAAACAGCATCGACATATCGCATGTTTACTACTGGATATAAGAAGGTAAAGAAATTTATAAAATCAATTACAACAATGAATATTGGCCGATACGCGGCAGAGCTGACCACAGGGGTATATGTCTGGGGGTAAATGTCCGGGGGTAGATGTCCGGGGATAGATGTCTGGGGGTAGATGTCCGGGGGTAGATGTCCGGGGGTAGATTTCCAGTCGCGGGCTGTTTCTCGAACGTGTATAAGCCCCGCCCCTCGTGACGTCAAAATGACGTAGGCGTTTTTTCATGGGGGTAAATATCCGGGGGTAGAAATCCGCTACCCCTCTGTGTGTGTGTGTGTGTGTGTGTGTGTGTGTGTCTGTGTGTCTGGATGTGTACAGAGCTAGGGACTACACCTGTGGTCCGATTTCAATGAAATTTGGTATGTAGGTTCTAATCCGTGGTATCTCCAGGCGTTTTTTTCGTTTTTTTGAAATTTTGATTTTTTATGGGGATTTTCCCATAAAAACCCATAAAAAACTGGAAAAATAGGATTTTCTCAAAAATGGCCCGAACGATTTTGATAAAAATTTAGTATGTTGTAGCCCTTTAAATTCTGAACAAAATGGTACAAATCCCATTTCTGTAAAAATTACGGTTCAAAAGTTATGGTAAATTATGTTATTTTCCCATAAAACCCCCATAAAATAACAAAAAATAGGATTTTAGACAAAAATCCGGTTTTGATTTAACAGAGTATGTTGTGATCCTTACAATTTTGATAGGTTTTGTCATTTTTTAGAAAATTTTATTTTTAATGGGGATTTTCCCATAAAACCCCATAAAAAACTGGAAAAATAGGATTTTCTCAAAAATGGCCCAAAAGATTTTGATAAAAATTTAGTATGTTATAGTCCTTTATATTCTAAACAAAATTATACAAATCCCATTTCTGTAAAAATTACAGTTCAAAAGTTATGGTAAATTATGTTATTTTCCCATAAAAATCCCCCATAAAATAACGGAAAATCGGATTTTCCCAAAATTGGCTAGAACGATTTTGATAAAAATTTAGTATGTTATAGTCCTTTAAATTCTGAAGAAAATTGTACAAATCCCATTTCCGTATATTTACTCTCACCGCTTACTCATGAGAAAGGTTGTTGACAATCTTATGGGAGAAAGTATGTGTCAGAATGCTGATACCGTTTATTTCATTATCAGCAAGTTTGGTTGGTTTGGTTCGGTTATGACAGTTTAATTTTATTATTAAGTCATTATAAAATTTTTATCGAGCAATTTCTAGTTTTATTTAATGAACATAATTTTTTTTTCTATTAATTAACTTTTTTTATATTATTTCATTATTAGCAAGTTTGGTTAGTTCGGTTAGGTTATGATAGTAATTTTATAATAAAAAAATTATAAAATTGAATTTGAGGCATTTATAATTTTATTTTATGAACAGAACTATTTTTGCGATTAGTAAACCTTCATTGCCAAAATATTCTCTACTAGAACGCTGTTCGCGGAGGAATTTTGAACTAATGCCTCAATCGTACCTCCCCTAAGTCAGACCCTGATTTTATTATTTTCTTTGATCTGTACTCAATTATATGTTCTCAACATTCAACTACTATATTTGTAAACAGTTCATATTTGTTTGTTTTGTTCATCTATATATATAAAAGGCAAAGCCTTCACTGACTCACTGACTGACTGACTGACTCACTCACTCATCACTAATTCTCTTACTTCACATTTACCTAGGAGGCTGAAATTTGGTACACTGATTCTTTAGGCATTAAATAAGAAAACTAAGCTGTTTTTATTCTGATCGTACTCTTGGGCTCCGCCCCAGTGGCTCTGGAGTTTCCCATGTTAACCTTATGAGTACTCATATTTAAACGGAATTAATGAATCTTAACAGCTGTTTCAATTAAACATGTTGGTTCTGTTCTATGATGTTCAATGGCATTAAAGTTACAAGGATTACCAACAGGGTGCAGCACTATTATTTCTTTTACATTTATGACAACAGCTAATTTGCAACCAAAAGGTGAGTGAGCGTAGCGAACAAACTTCAACCTGGAGGCGAGTTAGCGTAGCGAACGAGCTAACCGAAAGCAAGTGAGCGCAGCGAACGAGCTCCAACCTAAAATATATTTACGTTATTCCTTATGGTCGATTTAGGAGAAAATCATTTTATTTCATCCTTGTACGGTATGACGTTTTTCCGTAATCAATTTGAGACACCTTATGTGGGACACCATGTATATCATTATATCATAACATTAAACCTAAAATAATAGAAAAAAAATGTCAAGACTAGGACCCATTGTCTCTAACATGAACTAGACATAAAACACAAGCTTTAGATTTTACAATGGGATGGCAAGTCTACATGTGTTGGTTAGGCTTTGACCAACCTGTTGTTGGTTTAGACTAACCAAAAAAAGTAAACTTCTCATCCCATTATAAATTTATAAATATTTTTTTATCATACAAGTTCATGTCCGGTGACACTGATTGCTAGTGTTGACAGAATTTTGTTACTATTATTTTAATGATTTGTGCGTTACTTTTTGGTTATATAACTAGGGGCGGAGTAATTGTTTATGATTAGATTGTTTTATTTGGTTAACCCATTTGCATTGGATGACGTACCAGTACGTCAAGTCAGCAATGCCCAGTATCACAGCTGACGTACTGGTACGTCAGAGGCTCGAGAACGCCTGCAGCCGCGAACCGTCTTCCCGCGCGTCAACCACCGCAGTAGAAGCTGTAGCTAATCTACCCCCTCCTCTCAGCCTTGAGAACCTTTTAAGCAGTTATGCAAAAGAAATTACTAAAAAACGTGCTGACTTTGAAGGTAACCTTCAAAGAGTTCTTGAAGGTTTGGCCCCTGAAGAAGCTCCAACCTCACAACTGTCTACTCAAGATGATATCAATGATGTTTATATCAAAATTCAAAGCATTATCGAATCTTTGAATCCAATAAATTGACGAACCACGTACCCCTTCTGCGCATAGCAAGCCGCAAGCATTAGCAAGGTTCAATTTTTACTCATGCATCAGTAAATATTAGGCTCCCGAAGCTGGAACTAAAACACTTTGATGGCAATCCATTACAACGGGTTAGTTTTATTTACCTCTTTGACTCTAGTGTACACAAAAATGTGAGTGTGTCTAATGTGGCCAAATTTCAGTACCTTTTAAGCGTTGTGTCGGGAGAACCCCTCAGCTTAATTAAATCCCTTAACATCACCACTGCGAACTACTTAGTTGCTTATCAACTCCTTCGTGACCGCTATCACAACACAAGGCGGCTCACCACACTGCATTTAAACCAGATAATGGACCTGCCGAACATTACTTTATATATATATATATAACACCTTTTAGATTGAAGTGTCGTCGTTGAAAGAATATAACACGCAACGATTATGTCTATTTAATGTAGCATCTACAACAAACCTATATCTTTTTTTATAAAAAATTGAATAAACAATTGTGCAGTGTATCGGCAGCTTTCGCCCAACAATAGACACACTATTGACAAATCAAGGAAACAAAATAGTACTATCGTATTAACACGTTGCCTACCAACCATCACACTCCTCTGTACCTATTATCTAGCACTACCAGGTAGTGATGTGTGAAAATAGTGGTAAATTTATTGCTCTGAAGTGTTAAACACAAAGACAGAAATTGAAACAGTCCTTTACCAATCCGTATATGTAACAAATTGTTTGAAAACAGATAACCATACAATCCATCACAGAGGTTATGTTAACGTGAGACTTAAAAAAATGACATTCTTGAAATCACACCGTACAGCCAATTGTTGTACTAACTAGCCACCATCAGTCCTTTAATTTTGACGAAGCATACATGTTATAATATTCCTTATAACATAGGACTAAACATTGTATCGTGTCACGTTGCCGAACTAGTCTTGTCTTTTAAACTAATTTAGAAAGTATAAAAAATCGGTATTCTTCACTTATTTAATGGAATGGTACTAATACGGTACTTCAAAGGATTAGCTCAATATTATTATTTGAAAAATTACTCATATAAAGTTAAACAAATAATGTTATTAACAATAATGTTGTGGTTCGGATTCCACTATGAATTGTAGGTCCCTTAGTTGCCATTAGCTGTTTGGGCTATTAATTAACAGCTGTGTCTAAGGAATGTCGGCCTTAGTCACTAACAAGACTACAAGATCCCGCCACTCATCCTACACTCATCTCCATTCATACTTGGCTTAAAATACCTACATAGTATGGTCGCCATTTCATAAGAAAGTATAAAGTAAAGTTAAACAAATAATGTTATTATCAAAGAAATTAGGTTTCTGATTTGGTTATTCAACATTTACATACAATATTTCGTTTTACCAAGTAAAATGGGTATAATTTATGCCATTTAGTGTTGCGGAATAAAACTCTGCATACGCCCGCTCCTGTTTTACGGTGAAGCGCCTCCTCGAGGTACGAGAGAGGGCGCGTACGGAGTTTTGTTCCGCAATAATGCAATTATACAAATACATGCAAACAAAATATATTTGATAATAATTATAAATGAAATAATTCATTTAAACATGTTTATAATTTTGTATGTATAAAATATAGTTTGACAATAGCGCATGAGGAAATAAACTCTGCTCTAAGGACTTACATGATAGGGCGCACGCGGAGTAAACCTCCGCAACACCACGTCACTGAATTGCAACTGACAACAAAATGAGGAGGAATTCGGGGGTAAAAATAGCTTAGGGGCATTCCCAGGATGAAGTGCGTGAAGTGTAGAGCCGGGCCCGACTGCAGACACCCATTATGCATATTTATATTAACAAAAACTACAAGTGCGGAGAAAAACTCCGCAAGCGCCCCCTCGAGGGTTAAAATGGCGTAATAGGATAATAATATGTTCATAGTTATTTGATACATATTATTTATTAAAAATGTATAAAACATATTTGTACACACTACAAGAGTTTTACTTACAGAACAGTATACTGTTCCTAGCATTCACAGAGTGCTGATGGAGAACAGGTACAGAGCATTTCAAATGCTTACAAAATCTCACTCACTCCTAGGCGAGGGGGTTTAGTTAATAATACAACTAATGTTTTGACGGGAATACATAGTAACTTTGAGATCAAAAATATGTTTTATTAGCCTGAAATCAATAGAATGAAGCTGCTGAGGTGCGGGATGTGGGGCTGGGGTGTGTCAAGGTCAATGACAAGACGTTAATGGCCGGACATTTTGCAAACAGCTATTACTACACAATAGCCACGAGCTTTTAAGGAGAAAAATTGTCTATTATTATTTAGCTGATTCAGCCGACGTTATTGGCCGAATCCTTTTAATTTATTTTATTATCATTTACTAAAAGAGTTACTGCACCAATCTATTTAAAGCTTTGTAAAAATTTCAATTTTTGTTACATTTTTGGCCCTAAAAACAGTTTTTACAATACTAAAAATATATTTATATTTGAGTTTCTCTGATACATACTTCCGACTACAAGAAATAAAAGGTTTTTTTTCCAAATTCAGTCTCGACAAATAGTATCGGAAACAGCTAAATCAAAAGATATATTTTGCCCTTTTTTAGAGGGGTGGTGAAGACTCTCAAGACAATCATTACATGCAAGGAGAAACGAAATCAGGAGCTTTTGAATCAGTTGCACAAATTATCTTGAGTGTCTTATAAAAATGTCACCTTAGAACTAGAATAATATATACTTTGTAATTGGTTACAGGAACATTGAGACATGTTGACCAGTCAATTTGGTCTCTTCTCTTCTCATATTTATTGAGTTGGACTACTCTCTCCCTTAACACTGCTTTCACTGGAACAACTGGTCTCATCAGAAAATACAATCTCTTGATTACTCTGGCTGAATTCATAAATTTTCAAGGCTTCTTCTAACTCTTCTCTCATTTCAAATTCCTGATTTTCTTCATTGTCAATTTGTAATGTCGACTGATTATCACGGGAGGACTCAAGATATTTCTTTACAGATTCCAGTTCTTTAGGAGGCATCTCAGATATGTGTATAATATTTGAAATTAGTCGTCTTTTCTTCCAATTTCCCAAAACATCAGGTGATAAACCTTCTTTTTGATTCAGGCATAAATTGCAAAAACAGTTCAAAGCTGACAGAGTTCTAGTATCAGATCCAGAGCAGCCAGAAAAAATGTAACGATGTGTCAAAGAAACGCCAGCTTCTTGACGTTTCTTTAACAGTGTGTCTATAGCATTTTTCACAGCAGATGACAGTATGATTACAATTTCGCTGTTATGGTGTACAGTAATGACAAATGTACACCTTTCTGAAAATTTAAACAGGAGAGGCATCATCTTGTTGCACTTGACTAGATTTTGTATTGAGCTGTCAGGTCGTAACGCATATTCTATAACTGATATTTGTTCAATAGTCGTGAAATCCACTGGATTGGTCAAACACAAATAACACAATGTGTCAGCAGCAAGCTCGTGCCAGACAGCTTTGGCTTCATTTGAAATGGCTTTGCTACACAGTGCATCTGTCAGTTTAACTATGCTCTCATTTAATAGATTTTTTAATCTTTCTATGTTACTCACGTCAACTACAGGTTTCTTTTTCTTTGATTGTTTGTAGCTTACTTCTCTTTGAGTAGAGAGTTTGAGTTGTAGAGTGGGGTCAGACTTAAGTTCTTTTTCATACATGTTATTGAAAACGTCAAAAAAGTTTATTGCATCTTTTGCAGCATCCAAATCACCCCTGAACAAACATTCCCCTCTCCATACAAATGCACTTATTGAAATGTGTGAATATAATTGTTTATAAAGGTTAGTAGTTCCTGTGCCTGTGGCTTCTCTCAAAAAATAACGCAACGCTTCAAAAAGAGCATAGACACTGTCAGGTCTTAAAATATTTTCAAACTTAACCCCTTCTGAATTTCCAGTCACCCTACTATACAAGTGAACGATGAATCCCAGTCTTGTCAACAACACCAAACCTTCTTCTCTACACCTCTCATTGATAAACAGATATGATACAATCCACATTATCAACTCATCGTTTTTTGCAAGGGAACCAAATATTCCTTTCAATCTGTAGAAATAATGATCTTTTAACTTTTTGACCTCACTTTTCTTTAAATGGCTCAACATTGCCTGACTTTTCATTAACAAATTCTTTTCCGGCTCTTGTACCTTTGTCTCTGAGACATCCTTAAACATACAGCATTCATTATGATGAGTAAAACAATCAATATGAATAAAAGCAGCACATAGTGGGCATGGCAAAAATTTGCTTTTGTCAATAGTAAAGAAAGTGTGATGCCAGCCCCCTAAACATATTAAAAAACCAGTGTTAGCCTCAAGGACTCTACAATTATGCTTAAAATCACCAACTCTTGTTAAAAGAGTCAACATTTTTTCTTTTTTATGCTTTCCAAATGCAAGGGCACTTAGCACTTCTTTTTTTTTAGGGTGTTGTAAAACAAGATGTGTTTTCATATCAGCAACTAGGTCATTACAATAGAAGCAGCTATGCAATTTTTCAAGCAAAGTGGAGATCAATGTTGAAGGCTCTTTTTCTGAACTGGTTAACAAATCGTTAATGTTGACATTGATTTCTATATCATTCATTCTATATCTATCTTCTATACCTTTCTTTCTTTCTAGATCTTGAACGCGTACTATTTCAAAACCTTGATTAGCATCTTTTTTTGATTTCTCTGATATCTCAAACTTTGCCACTTGTCTAATTTCTTGTTCTTCATTTTTTGTTTGTCCTAGAGCAAAAAACAAATACAAAAAATGATTAGTTAAAACAAATAGACATCATGATATTCTAGCAAGTAAAAGTTATAAAAACTTTACATCTCATGCATCATCATATTATAGACATTAAAACTATCCACCAATCAAACCAATATTCAGTATAATTTTTGTGTGTTTTACACATGGCATCTATATTATTTACACGCTACATGAAACTTTGTAAAGAAAAAGGCTTTTTGTTTTACGATTTAACCCTACATATTATATACCGTACCAAAATGTTTGTCTACGCATGTAGATTTGCAAACTGACCTTTTATTTCTGAAAAAGTCCCTTGGGCTCTGCCCCAGTGGTTTTTAAAGTTCCCATATTATCCTTATGAAGAACATATTTGTTTACATTATGATCAGCTGGATAATTTAATTGCTGTTAATATTTTAGTTTCAATTTATATTTAAGGAAACTGTGCTACAAACATTTACTGACTTGGTTAAAATGAATTATTTACTATTTGAATTTGGGTTAGCAAAGGAAAAAAAGCGAGAAAGCCTGGACAATTAGATATACTTAATAAACCTGCCGCAGCAAACCTGCAGACTAAGAGAATTTCCATACATTACAAATCGTTCCATACATTACAAATTGTCAGATTTATTTCCTATTTAAATATAATTAATTTTAATGAGTACTTAAGTTTGCTGCAACAGGGAAGGTATTGAGGTGTGTTTTTTTATGAAATGTTGATAGCTTAGTATGAAATAAACAAAATTGACAAATGTTATTAAAATATAATATCCATAAACAAGCAAACTACAAGTTAATTTAATCTCCATAAAAATTACATGTGAGAATTTTAAATTTTACAAAATTTTTTGAATTATCTCCATAATTGTTAGACATACAACAACGCTTCAATATACAGGGTGGCTGAAAAGTAACTTGCACCCCCTCTTAACTTTTCAACCATTTGAGATATTTGAAATCTGTTTGCGGCAATCTTCTTAGATATGAGGGGCTACAATAATTATGGTCAATTTTGAAAATGTTGCCCTTAGGGGTAGTGGGGGTAGGGGGTAGCTCAAAATTTTCAAATGACAAGTATAGTCGAGTTTGGTATCATTTTACAGGTCTTGACGAAACATAAAAATTGACATAAAGAAAACCAAAATCGGCCCACTAATAACAAAATGGCCTCCTAAAACGTTTCAAATCCAAATAACCATGAGGGTGGCTGAAAATAACTTGCACACCCTTTAACTTTTGAACTATTTGAGATATTTGAAATCGGTTTGCGGCAGCTTGTTTGGATATAAAGGGCTACAATAAATATCGTCAGTTTTGAAAATTTTGCCTTTAGGGGTAGCTGGGGTAGGGGGTAGCTTGAATTTTTCAAATAGTAAGTATAGTCGAGTTTGGTATCATTTTGCAGGTCTTAACGAAACATAACAATTAACATAAAGAAAATATAAATCGGACCATTAATAACAAAATGGCAGTTCAAAATTACTTTTAATAACCTTTGTCTTAACCATTTTTAGTTGCCATTTTGTTGTTAATGGTTTGATTTCTATTTTCTTTATGTTAATTGTTATGTTTTGTCAAGACCTGTAAAATGATACCAAACTCGACTATACTTACTATTTGAAAAAATTCAAGCTACCCCCTACCCCAGCTACACCTAAGGGCAACATTTTCAAAATTGACCATAATTATTGTAGCCCCTCATATCTAAGAAGGTTGCCGCAAACAGATTTCAAATATCTCAAATGGTTGAAAAGTTAAGGGGGGTGCAAGTTACTTTTCAGCCACCCTGTATGACCTATGGGGAGCGAGCTGGCGTAGTGGTTAGAGCGCGGGACTTCAGTCCCTGAGGTCCCGGGTTCGATCCCCGCCAAGTCACCAATGGATTTTATCTAAGTGATAATGCCGCAACCCCTAGGTTTAGCCTGAAGTAATGTGAAAAACAATCCCAGGCTCGTGCCTAGCGTCCTTAGGACAAAAAAAAATATATATATATATGACCTATGTCCCCTACAAGCCTAGTATTACATTATCTTTGGCTGTTGCTCCCTGTGTTCTTGATTGGGTAAGATGTTTGTGTCACCCTGTGCTTTTCACCAGCTTATGTGGCATCTTGAGGGGTCCAATTCAATTCAATTCTTCTTAACTTATCTTTTTATCACTAACACTATTTTTCCAAATATAGACTTTAATGTTAGTAAAAAAAGACCGAAATGAATAGGGTGACACAAACATCATACCTACTCAAGAACACAGGCAACAATAACAAAGATTATCTAAGGTTATTCAAGTTCTTGTAACTTGAATAGGAACAAAATACATGACTATTAAATTAAGTTGTATTTTAAAATAAAAACAAAACACTAGGTGTACAATGCAGTTTTCTGCTTGCAATATCGAGCGGAGCTACTATATCAATCTAATACCTTTCCAAAGTCAATGCTACATCTGTTTCTTGTAAATGAGATATATACTTGCAGTATCCAATGTCAATGGTATATTTGGTTCACATAAATGGAATGTATATTTGCAGTATCTAAAGTAAATTATAAGTCTGGTTCAAGTAAATGAAATGTCTACTTGCAGGAACCAAAGTTTATGTTTCATCTGGTTCTCATAAATTAAATGTTTACTTGCAGTATCCAATGTCAATGATATATTTGGTTCGCCTAAATAGAATGCCTATTTGCAGTATCCAAAGCCAATGTAGCTGGTACACTCATTTTGGTTCACATAAATAGAATTGCTATTTGGAGTATTTAAAGTCAATGGTCCATAAGCCTAATTCCGGTGACCCAAATTATTAATGTAGTAAATAATGATCAATGATATTAAACTGTTTGTTCTTCCCTTTTCTTTGTATGGTATTTCTAACTAGGTGAAACCCGTCGAAATCGACGGTTACTTTCAAGGCTTACGTTAATTCATCTAACTGCGATAAATTGGGTGAAATATACATATTTTGAGCATTTAGCATTGTTTAAAGAGTAATAAGTGTAAAAACAATAATTATATTAATTGCGTTAGTTGCCAAATTTGGTTGATCATTCAATGATTAAAATATTCCCCATATCGTACGTCATAGGAGTTATTAAAAAGTGTTATATAATATAGTCTATACTATTATAAAGAAGAGGTGGTGTCTGTGTGTGTGCATGTGTGTTTGTATGAGGTAATCTCAAAAACTACTGAACCGACTGGGCTCAAATTGCACACAAATGAAGCTACAGCTCCGAGGATACATATAGAACTATTCCCGCTTCGATATTGTCCTAGGGCTCTGCCCCGTGGGCTTTCAAAAATTTGAGGTGAGAGATTTAAAAGTAAATATTGATTGATGGTATCCATGGTAACAAAGAACAAACCTACAAAGTTTAAAAATGTAAACAAGCAGAACTAACTGTCAGTATGTTTTATGGTATATCTTCCTTTGGAAGAACGTTTAAATAGTATTAAAATCGTATTGGTGGATCTTTTGTAGTTAAACACTTCCGTGATTTCATCAGTGTTATACGATTTTATTTCAAAAGAAAATATTTTTCGGGAAGACATATTCTAACCTCAAAGGGAGGTATATCCGTTACAGTGTAAGTTTGATTTTTCCTTCGTCTGGTCACGTCAGTTCATATCGTACTTCTGTGCCAATGAGTGAACCCTCTAGCATAGTTTTGAGAAATTGATTGTGGGGTTACTGATAAAGCTGGAATTCCTTGACATGGAGGATGTCAGTTAGTTATCTCAGCCTCATCAATAACATAAAGTTGTCAATATAATCTCTCTACGGAATGTTATGTGTAGTGGAATACTTGAAGTGAAGTTGCTTTTTATTCTTGAACTGTTAGGGGCCTCCTTGTTCATATGGTCTTGTGGCTTCATTGGCAACAAATAATGCAAATGACAAAGCAATGGGACATTTCCAAAAAGCAAAAATACTGTAAATTGGCTGTCACGTGTATATTGACGTTTACATATTGTTAATCAACGTATCTTATAAAGGATTATGTGATATAGTTTAAAAGGAACATGACCTTTCTGTCATGATAGTAGCTGCTTAATGTTAATATCTGCTTAAATAGTATTTACTCATATTGTCCTATTTTTTACAGTCAAAATGTTGTGTTATTTTCAATAATGTTACCAAACCAGTGCGCCAAAGTCCGTAATATAGGCAGGTGCAAATAATTTGTCAAGATGGGCACCATTTTAGGCAAGGTTCTATGTTTGGATTTTATTAGACATGATAAGAGCAGATATTTCCACATAAATATTTTATATGTGTAGAATAATATGATAAAATGTAAAGAATTGCTGTGACGAAAAGGAATTTCCACTGATTTCGTAATCAAATCAAATCAAATCAAATCAAATCAAAATGTCTTTATTTCGTAAAAGTAATCATTTTGACAGTTTTTACAAAATACAGTATCAGATTACCATAAGAATATAACTGAGTACTTGAACTAAACGAAATGAATCCCACATGGGAGAACCCGTGCGTGGGAGTGAGTCATTCTGTACTTTAATATGAAAGAGAAAAAAAAAAATTTATACGTAATAAGAAACAAAACAAAATACTTCTATCCACTGGCATGATTCCAAAGCGCTAGCGGAATTTTGGCAAATCACATTGGAACATAGATAAAATGATATCAGGTTGACTCGTTGACTTTCCCCTACCATTAACCCCCCAAAACGCCCCCCTCCCCCCCCCTCAACACACACACACACACACACACACACACTCACACAGACACGCGTGCAAACACAAACACACGCTGTATCAGCTGTATCACCTATTGTCTGTATATGGAAACTAATAATCTATTAGCTCCATCCCTCCCAATGAGTTTTAGCCAGTGAACAATGTGTTTTTTGTACGTTGTAATTGAGTGTCTGTCATAGTCTCGTAAGTCTAGTGGAAGGTTAGAGTAAATGATGTGTGCAACGTAATAGCAATTTGTTGTAGAAAATGTCTTTGTAAGTCTGGGTA